TTAAATAAATAAATACTATCTCATTGTTATGTATTATGATTACGTCAGAATGTATTAAATCATTTAAAAACAGTTTTAAATCAAACATTCATGTTTTTTAACATTCTGTTTTAAAATATTTTCCATCCCTAATTGTTACTAGCTGGCTAGTTTTCATAAAGATATTGTTAATTCAATTCGTTCAGTCAATTTAAAAATTTGTATTGTTTTTATCTTTAACCGTATTTAAATTGAATAATTAAAAAAATTTATAAAAAAGCATCCTAGTTTAAAATGTTCGTTATTTTGAAGAATTATCAAATTTTTATAAATTTTTATATCAACTTTAATGTCATTTGAAGAACTTATTGACGAATTTAAAGAATTAACATTTAACGTTAATAAAAAAAGTGATGATGAAATGAACCTTGATAGTAATCATCATAATAATTTCATAATGCAGATTATAAATATTCTGCCAAATAATACGATATTTTATGCCGAAATATCTGAACGATGGGCAGTTATTAATAACATATTTTACTTTTTTAGGAATAATAATGAAGTTAAAGTCCTTAATAGTTTATCAACTGTTTATGAAGAAAGATTGCCAAGAAGATGTGAAATTTTATTAGATAAAACATATAGAAAGCTTGAATATCTAATAAATTCATTAAATTTATTAAACAAAAAAGCTTTATTAACAATTGGCAAGAACCGAAAAAAGAGAAAGAACTTAGTAAATTAATTTTAAAATAGGCTTGTGATGAAATTGAGGTCGATCTTCTAGACTTATTTGATGCTGCATTATGTTTTAAGAAAAATCTTAATGGTGCTTTTTATGATCGATATGTTACCATGAATTTGTCTAGTTTAAAAAATATCTACTCAGATGAAATTATATATGCAATGCAGAAAATTTTGCAAGCCATACAAACAGTTATGCTTGTTTTTGGCCCATATGGATGGGGATGTTTATTATATTTAAAGCAACAAGAACAGTTTTCAAAACTTCTCCCAACCTTTAAAGAAATTTTAGATTTTACAATTGAAGCAAAAAGATACTTCTCTATGTATATTTTACATCATTTTTTATTAATGAAGTAAACTTTGTAGAAGGTGAAATTAATGATTATATCAGGTTCATATTTTATAAAAAAAGACCCTTAAATTTTATTC